CTCCGTGATCTATAATCAGCAAGTGATGACAGTTTCCTTAATGCCACGGTCAGCTCAGTCCCCCTCATACATCCACACTTACTCTTGCACATAATGAGAGAGGAAGATCTGGCATCCAAGTCCAAAGGTAAAACTCCCTGTTCTTTTGACTGTGCTGCTCCTTACTCTGACTTCTCTCCTGAGCTACCAGCACCACCTGAGGGCTACTTCATCAGTCTATGCAGCTGTTCCTCACTCTTGACCCCAGCCCTAGGCATCCTAATTGCTTGGGGTGGCATAATTCTGGGCCGTGTGGACAGTCATGCAGGGGTGACTGAATGAACACCACATAGTAGGGAAGAAGGATGGGGGAGACACAGGCCAGGCTAAGGAAAAAGATTTCAAAAAGAGAATATGTAGAAGAACCACAGAATCCTGTAAACCAAAAATCTCAGAGGTGGAAGGGACTATAGAGGTCACCGAACTGAAACAGAAAAAACTGCCTCTATAACATCCTCCCTCTCCCCAAAGTGGTCATTCAGCCTCCAGATGGAGACCTCCAATAACGCGGTGTCCCTGTGTCCCAAAGCAGGTTATTCCACTTTAAGATACTTTTAATTGTCAGGAAGTTATTTACATCTATCTTAAATCTGCTCCTCCAGGGCCAGGCCAAATTTTAATCCCTTAAATGACAAGTTTTAATTTCTTGTTTGCATGACAGACCTTCTAATACTGAAGACAGCTACCCCTACAAGTCTTCTTTTCTCCAGACCAAATATCTTCTCTTCTCCAGACTAAATATCTGTAGTTCCTTCACTTGATTCTCATAAGGCATGACTTCGAGGCCCTTCTCCATATTTTTCACCCCTCTCTAAATTATCCATATCCTTCTTGAAATACGGCACTTAGATTTGATCAGGTCCAGGCAGAATACTGGGACCATCACCTCCTTTGTTCTGAGAGTCTGTCTCTCAATGTAGCCAAAGATCACTTAGCTTTTTGGTCATCTTATCACACCTGCTGACATGCAAACCATGAAAAGGAAACATTATTCAACCACATCTCTACCATCTTGTACTTGTGAAGTTGATTTTTTGGACCCAACTCTAGAGTTTACATCTGTTCCTATCATATTTCTTCCTATTATATATGAACCATTGGTCTAACTAAATCTTTCAACTCTTGACTCTGTCATCCAGTGTCTGGGCTATCCCTCTCAGCTTTGCGACATCTACAAATTTGATAAGCATGTTCTCCACATATATATATACATATATATATATGTATATATATACATATATATACACACATATATATATACATATATATATATATATATATACATATATATATATATATATTTTTTTTTTTTGGTGAGGCCATTGGGATTAAGTGACTTGCCCAGGGTCACACAGATAGTAAATGTCAAGTATATGACATCATATTTGAACTCAGGTCCTCTTAATGCCAAGGCTGGAGCTCCGTCCGCTGCACCACCTAGCTGCCCCCTCCATATTTTTATTAGTCATTAACAAAACTATTAAATAATACAGGAACATTTATAGTCATCCACAGCTTACTCAGTCTCTATTTTTATAAAATGATGGCATAATATTAACAATGATAACAATAATAGCAGCTAACACTTACATGCTGCTTTGTATTCATCTTCAGTTACCCACTATGGCTTCCATCTACCGTGTTTTTATTTTAAAAATCTAAGATGTCCAACGAATTTCTGATAGATCCACATTGTTCTCTTTTAGATAGTGCCCTCCTTTCTTCCAAGTCATAATAATGTGTTATTTTATTATTAGAATTTCATTCTTGATAGTTTCCTACTCCTCTTAGACTGAGTTACTTTCTAGAATGTTAGGCCACATAATATTACTCATACAATCTCAGAACCTTTTGAATTCATTTCCCAAATCTAGGATGTAATTAGACTAAGCTTGATTTTCCTCTCTTTTTCTATGATGAATTCTAGGATAGAATGGTCTTCTCCTCCCAGGGTTTATATCATTTCTATTTTAGCAACCAGTTCTTCCCTTTTTAGTCAGATTCAAGTCCATATTCCTATTGTCATGTCCCTCTTTTGAAAAATGAAAATCGTCACTAAGGTAAATCAATAATTCATCAGCCAGTCTGCATTTTACCAAGACAGAGTTTCACAGATGTTGGGATGATGAAGTGTTCCACCATTACTATATGACATCCCCATGTAAGTATCCTAACCTATTTTCAAGACTCATCACATAGTTACTCCTTTGGTCTAGGTGATCTGTTGCATACACTTATAACAATGTTGTGTCTTTTTCTCTTTTCGTTGATGCCCACCTAAATGATGCCTGCCACCATGCTTTTCCTTTCTGCTTTCTGGTTGAGTTATATCTTATTAATAAATAATGCTATTCTACCATCCCCCTTTTTTCATTCTGTTCCTTTTAAATAAAGTACATTCCCTTTAATAGTTCTATTCCAGTCAAGTCTCAATATACATATGAGGCCAAATTTTCATACTTCTGTTTGAACCTCTCTAATTCATCTTGTCTATTACCCAGGCTTTGGCATCTGTGTGTATGGGTCAAAGATGAAAGGATTGATGGTTGGGTCTCTTCTTCAATATCATTTCCTATAAATTATTAGTCCTGTCTACTGAAACTCTTCGCACATTGTTCTCTATATTGTCTGTGGTAGTATGAGCCTTGGCAGATAGATGTCGGTAGTTTTCTCCCTCTCCTTCCATTTTCAGTTCAAAACATTCCTGATCAAACAAGACTCTAGTTCAACACATATTCACCATTCTCTACTCCTAGCCAAGAGCTTATCTGTCCTACATCTTAAACCATGATGCCTCCCTTCCTTTAAGGCTTCTACACAAAGCCTTTCCAGATCCTCCCAAAGGCTAATGGCCCCTTGGGAACTAACCTGCATTTCTTCTCTTTATATTCCTGGTATATATGCTTATCTATGGTTTTGCTACTTCCTCTGATAGAACGTAAGCTCCTTGAGGGTAGGGTTTACTTCACTCTTTGTATTTATATTCCCAGCACCAAGCACACTCCCTGGTACCCAGCAGGGACTTATAAATTTTTGCTGATTGACTAAATGATGGCTAAAACACAAGTGTCAGACCCAAGGCCCATTGCCACAAGCAGCCAGCAAAACTCCCTAATACTTCCAGGAACCAGACTGAAATGTAATTAGGAAATGCTAGACAAAATAAATAAAAATGTAATACAACATAGATAGTGTTAATTTGTGGTTTTCTAAGCCAATATATAGCCTGCAGGGATCTGTTTCTATTTGAGTCTGACACCAGTGGTCTTAAAATTCAAATCCTACTTTCAGACACCACTTTCTCAATCACTTGTTTACCCGTAGAAATCTGCCTTCCTTTTCCAAAGACCCTACAATCAATAACACTGGTTAAAAACACCACCTGTGCCCCTAAAAGCTCCAGTTTCAGTTTAACGCCCACGGCTATATAATCCGATTCATGGAAATGCTTTCTAGGTTTCTTCCGACAACATTATTTAACCCCCACAAGAGTCACTAGGAGTAGGTAGTGGTTTGGGGGGTTGATACCACTTGAGGCTCTCTGTCAGGCGCTGGATACGTATTTTAGAAAGAGAGTTGATCTTCTCTTATTTTTCAAATAATACTGACAAATAACCATCTCTAAATCCCACAGCAGGAGTCACCAACCACCACTACTTACCAACATATGCTCATTATTACCATTTGACCTCTCTCGAAAACACCCAGGGACCTACATCATCCTTTGTGGAGTACAAGAAGAGAACTCTTTAATCCTCAGAGGCTCCAGTGCTCCCCTCTATGGGAAGAGCCTAAGACTAATCACAAGAGCTCCAAATGTTTACTGGTCCTTCGTCCTCTTCTCCATACCCCATCCTTTCATCTTTCACCTCCTGACTCCCATTAGGGTTCTCCTCTGCCCTGTCATGTCCATGTTCTTTGCTTTCTCTTTGAAACACATCTTTTATCCTTTCAAAGAACTCTATGCTTCCCTGATAAGCCTAGAGAGGAGAGATATGCTCCTCCAGCCTTTTCACCTTCTCCTGTAGGAGGAAGACCAATTCCCATTTCGTTCCTACACAGCACCTGTTCCATGTCATTGGCAGAACAAATATAGCACTGTCTCTACAGGTGACTGAAAGAGGAGAAGGGATTTGTCCGATGCTCAAGCAGAGAAGGAGAGTGGGGGTGATTTGGGGAAAAAGAGAGAGAAAACAGGACATGGAACTTTGGGAATTTCTCTTTGGGATCAGGTAAAGAGGGCTCTAGGGTCCTAGATGGGAGTCGGAAGAAACAGGTGATTCTGACCCAACTGCCATTTGGCCCTCAGCAACTACTGGAAGGAGGCTGGCAGCAGCTGAAGTTGGGCAAATTCAGCCCATGCTCTCTAGGGAAGGAAGGGAGCTGGGAAGAGATCAACAGCTGTCCCTTCTGATCCCGCCCCATGCTACCCTACTCCACCTCCTCCCCCAATAAACCAAAATGACTAAACCAAGTTTTCTCACATGACGGGGGTCAGGTTTGGTATGATTGGGGGGCGGGGGGGATGTGGGGAGAGGGAAGGAATGATAGGATGCTTCTTTGTGCTCCAAACTCTCCTCTCCTGGCTCAATGATTCCAGAAATTCCGGTGAAGGGAAAAACAAAGCCTTTTGATCCCACAATTAGAGATAAAAGGCTTATTATAATGCAAATACTGTGGAAGAGGACGGATGTGTCATCTAAGTGCTTTCAAGGTTTACCAAAATGGATTTCTATTTCGGACAGAATTCAATATCTCAGAGCCTTGCCAAAGACCCTTGTCACAGCAGCACAGAATGGTAGGACTCACCTGGGAAAGTGCAAACCTTTTGCAAATTCATAGACATCCTTTCCTGACCTCCTCACTTCACCTCTCCCCCCTCACTCTGCACCCCCCGCCAGCAACCTGCCACCTTAAAAAGGTTCCGAACCCCTACAGCAGAATTCAAAGGCCATTCATACCTCTCTCAAACGAATTTTTAATGTCATTGACTTCGACCTGCGATCCAGGCACTCTAAAGATACCTTGCTGCTGGAGACCTGGGAAAGCAAAAAATATGAGCTCATCAGAACACTGAGCATGTTAATGATTCCCTTCCCCCTTTGCTCCTTCCCTGTCCACATCCACAACCTTGCAGTGCATCATTCATAACAAAAGATAGGGGATCAGTTAGGAACTAAAAACACCAGGCCTGACTAGCGAGCAACTAGCAAAGAAAATGCCTTTCCAGAGCCAAAGTGGCCATGAGCCAGAAGCTTTAAAACTAAATTTCCATGATGAAAAGGAGTGGGGAATAAAACTGGATATATATATTTTTTGCTATTGTTTCCATATCTTCTCAGAAACATAATTAGGAATCTTCATACCAAGGCAAGTGCCACAAACATCACCAGGGAAAGGAAATATGAAGTCACGGCTTTGGCTGATCAATGTGGAAGGAGGCAGAGTCCTCCCAACACTCTTACCTCAGGATTCTTGCTAGGGAAGCTTGTGCGGAGGAGACAGGCGAGTTTGCCTTAGTTTGCCATTTTAATTATTCTTGCTAAGTAGGTGCTAGAATCTACCTTTTGTAGACTGCAAAAGGGCTGAAAGTGCTGTCAACACTTTCTAAATTCAGTCCCCTGGAGCAAAGCCCCCATACCCTGCTTTAGTTAGCTTACTACCTCAAATCCACGATCTGAATTTGAATCCAAGTCTATGGAAATGGAGCTGGGAGAAAGAGGCCAACACAAAATCTGTATCGATTTTTAAAAGTACTTAAAATAGGAAGCTACCTTTTGATAAGCCAGGGTCATTGTAAGACATATGTCTTATTTCCCCTACTGCACTATATAATTCCCCAGGGAGCAGAGACCTTGTCTCACGTGCTTTTGTATTTAGACAGTTTCTGAGTATACAATAGTATTCAATAAAAATTTACTGAATGAATTAAAAGAAGGGTCAATCAAATGGTGACTAGCACCAATGACCAGTCAACTGATGTGAACAGTAAACCAAGCTAGAGCTTAAAAATGTTCAGAGGGGAGAAGTAAGTATACCCCATCCTTCTCCTCTGTTCTTCCTTTCTCCCTTTGCTTTGTCTCCCCTTCCACTCTTTCCCTCCCCTTCCCTAGAAAGCACCCACACAGACTTGTAGAGAACTCAAACAGAAATTCGACCGATCAAGAGGAAGCCAGGGAAGATGGGATCTCCCCACCACCCACCCCACCCAGATGAAGGTGATGGTGTTGCCAAGGGCTTACCGTATAAATTGATATAACGGATGCAGCTTTCCACCACCAGGGGTATGGCCTGCCCTGAATCCTTAAGAAACAATGAAGACCTTTTTCACTTGGTTTGATTTGTAAAACATTTGGACGTAATCTCAAACACACATGTGAGCTCCAGATGAAAGATGAGCACCGCCCCCAAGTTAGTGAGAAGCTAAGCAAGTCGCTGCCCCACCTCGCCGTCTTCGTGAGCAGATTGGAAACGATGAGGAGTGATCAATTATGCAGGAAAAGGCATGGCTACTCTAGTGTCGGAGAAATGCTCTGTCTGGTTACCCAGCTGAGAGAAGCCGGGGTTCTTGCAGCTGTAGCCTTCTCTTCACAGAGGATGTGCTCAGGGCACTCCTGCTGGCTAGCCCTCCCTGTTTGTGGGGGATGGGAGGATGGTGTGGATTTGGGTCCTACTGCTTTAGTGATCCCAGCTCCTCTGAAAAGCTAGAGGACAGAGGACATGGGAGATTCCCAACACTCCAGAGACACAGTAGGCTTCTAAACCAAAGCTGTTCTGGAGTGGAGGGGATTCACTCTCTCACTCCCAATTTGCCCCATCCCAGCTCTGGGCTCCAGGGGCTCTGGAGTACAAGGGTAGGAACCCAACTCCTGTTCTGGGACCTTGCAATTGGACCATTAGCTCAGAAAGAGCACAGGTTGGGGACAAAGGCCACTTAAAGCTGACCCATCAGGCACTGAAAGCCTGAGGCACTGCCGCTTGTTTTTAAATAATCTAAGCACTGACATTCTCTTGAAAGGAATAAATGCTACAGCTAATGTTCACTGCCTGAGTAATGTTCAATGAATGCTCAGGGTGAACCACGTGGCCCCAAGATGTCCATCTGAGGTATGACTGTCTTCAATTTCCTCTTTCCACACTGACCTTTTATGCAAAAATTTTTATACCCCAGGATCTGGGAAAAAGATGGATTTTTTTCATGGTTCAGTTGACATCCAACATTAACCACTCCCTCAGGCTAATGAGGGACATTAGCTGGTTGTTGACCATGAGTTGTAACACTATTAAAGGATTTAAAAAAAAAAAAGCTTTCCAAATCCTCTCAGTTATAGAATCATATAATATTGGAGTCAAAAGGACTTTTGAGATCATCGACATCCACTCTCTCATTGTACAAAGAAGGAAACTGAGGCCTTGAGAGGGGAAGTGACTTGCTCAAAGTCATGTAAACATGTTAAACCAAAAATGAAACACTCACTAGTTACCTTAAAAAATAAGGAACAAGTGTGGAATACATGGCATGCCTGACAAAAGGGTGACAGCTTACTGGAATGCTTTACTTTTCCCCCTAACCCTCTAGGTAATACTTTCCTCATTGATTCTCAATGAGGAAATGGAGAGGAAGAGACAATTGGCCAACTGGTAGAGGGAATGTTGCTTTTGTGCTGGAAGACACTATCTGGGACAGGGGCAGACACCAGCCATTCCCCTCAAACCAAGAGGAATGGAAAGGCCTGTCTAGTAAATACCTGGTTCCTGGCTCGAGCATTTCTTCTTCCTCTGATAATCAAAAACAAAAGCAGCAGAGCAGGAGAAAAAGAAAAGATTACGCGAGAATGGGATCAGTTAGAGTAAGCATATCCTTCAGAGAACGTGAGAGCTCAGATGCGATGGCAGCCAAAAGAGGTCGAAGTTGGACCCAGGGCGAGACTGGCCAGCTGGGGTCCCACTCCAGCCCTGAGCTCTGGTGACCCACGGGGCTCCTGTCACTTGCCACATGCCTCACACCAGAATTCTAACACGGCTCCTTCTCTCACCCAAGGGGATTCCCAGACCCTCTTTGTTTCTTCCAAAGGCAGGACTAGAGCCCTTCTGAAGGTGATCCTCATACCTTCATACTCTACATGGTTCTTCCCCAGAGATTCCTTCCCAGATTAATTTTACTCCTGCTGAAATGAATTACCCTTCCAATGTCACTTTGAGTGAAATACGCCTTGATAGAAGTTGGGGAAGGGAGTATACTGGAAATCTTTGGAGTCACAAGATAATTGATTTAGAGATAGAAGGGGCCTTAAGTGTCTGATCTAACCACTCATTTTACACATGAGGAAACTGAGGCCCAAGAGGCAAAATTATTTTTACAAAGTAACATAGTAGCAGAGCTAGGATTCAAACCCAAGTTTTCTGATTTTGAAGACAAAGATTTTTCCATGATACCAAAGGTGAAGCCACCTTACTATGAGGTGGTTTTGTATTTCAATAACCACCCAGAGATTCCATTCCATCTAATCTGTATATTATATTGTATATATCTAGTCATTTTCATGTTTATTTTCTCTTTTAGAATGTGATCTCCTTAAGGGCAGGGACTGCTTCTGCTTTTGCTTGTGTTCCACTCATTTCAGTGCTTAGTAAACTGTCTAGCATATAGTTAGCAATTAACAAATATTTATTGACTGACTGACATTAAGCCAACTGGACAGATTTTTTCATTTGAACCTTCATCCAATATACTTCCATCTACTTCATCCAATTGGTCTGCATGAATTTTGAACTATAAGAGGGAAAGAAGTGTTGCTTTTGTTTTTCTCATTGTTGTTTGATGACATACGTTCTACAGAAGCTACAGCACTGCATGCTTAGGGATTCACCTTGGACCCTAGAGATTGGTGAGAACAAAACTATCTCATTGAAGCTTTTCAAGAAGATGGGGCTAGCGTGCTAGAAAACTACATAACAAACTGTAGGGAACTCTTTTATCAAATGTTTCACGCACTAGAATTCTCCACTAAGTGGCACCACTATTATACCCACGTTTGCTCTTGGTTACAAAAACACAGCATGGCCTCAAAAATGATGTTTTGTAGCAGTACCTTAAAATCTCAAAATATTGAGAATTCCTCACAAAGTTAGATTTCCTGTTATAAAATTAGATTCTATTCTAACACTAGAGCAGGGAGTCATATTTTTCTCAGTCTGAAATAACAAACAGGATTCTGAAAACACCTGTGCCTGCAACTACAAGGTAGAGTTTTATTACTTGATGTGACAAATTCTGTTGTTGTTTATTCAATGCTTATTATCTTCATACCAGCAGGATTATTAGTTACCTGTGCTGATGCTATACTAAATAACCTTTCATGAATGTGACATTTCAAAACTAATGAACTTCTTTATTTCTGTAAAGTCCTATAGGGAGATTTCTGAATCATTATAGAGTGATTAAGTTATGTTCAGAATAATTTTAGAGTTAAGTGCATTTCATTATATTTTAATCTTTTGAAATATATAATAAAAATAAGGTACAACTATAAGTAATGAAATTGATTATGGAACAAACATTTTATAATGAGTATATAAGACTCTATTAAGTCATTACCTGGGGACTCTATGTATTTATTCCAGTGGTGATGCCATTGCTCAAAACACTGTATGAACTCCTTTTTGGAAAGTGTCTTCAGAGCCACTTTATCAGCCAAACAAGAAAAACAAGCGTATAATGTTAACATCACATCTTGTTTTGGAGCCCAAACTGTATCATAATTCGGTTATTTATCTTAGTCATCAGATTTGGCTCTAAATGATGCTAGATTATTTTTTAAAAAATTAAATATACCTTCAAAGAAGAAATATTTGTCACCATTTGGTATATCAGAAAAAGCATGCCATAGGCTAAAACGGGAATTAGCAAGGAGAAATTCCAGAAATATGTGGAACAATGGCAGTATCATTGGAATAAGCCTGTAGCTTCCTCAGCTGATAAATTTCAAGAGGACAACATTGATTTGAATGTTTAGAACCTGCTCCGTTCTTTGGATATCAGTCACGTTATTTTACATAAGCCACACCTTGTGATGCAGGCTTAATTTCTAAGTTTATCAACCTCCTGATTGGGGGAGGGGAGGAGGGAGGATGAGTAGGTGAATTAAAGAGAAGCCTGCTCTTCCAATGTTGTATGCCTCTGTTAACCAGATTATTCAATTAACAAGAACACTCCATTCCTTAATATCACCAGGTAACAGAGAATTCACTGTTTACAGGTAGTAACTGATGAGCCTTTTTAAAAGAACCCAACATATGTTGAGACCTAGATCCCATCTCCACACTTTTGTCTATGCCATTTTCTTCAGTCTGTAACGCCTTCCCTGCTCTTCTCTGCCTCTAAAGGTCACTAGAGACTCTTTGCTTATACTAATCATAAAATGCCTTGCATTATTATTATCTTTTTATGTGTGTATGGTCTATCTCCCAGTTAGGCTATCGGCTTCTTGACAGCAGGAATCTTATCATATTTCCTTTCAACCTTTATATACCTTGCAGACTTTTCTACACATAGTGTAGAAAAATGTTTATTAACTGATTTATTGATTAATACAAAGATCTAAGATGGGAGATACTGGAGGAGACCTTTTAAAAAAGTTATTTGTGGAGGGAGGGTAAATATAAGAAAGAAGTTGGAGGAAAAGGGGGATTAAATCTAGAATAGGGTTCCATCTTTTCCAGGAATGATACATTCCTCACCATGGGACTCCTCACAAATATAATTCTCTCCTTAATTCAGAAAGATGAATATTTACTTTCTAGGAAAACCTCCCATAGTAATATATTATCTCTTTGGACATCCATTCCATATGGTAAAACAGTCCCTCCCATCCTCTGCCAGTTCTTGTCACTCTCAACCATCAATTTCACCTGAAAATACTCTCACCTCTTGTTTCCCAATACTAAGCACACAAAGGTAAGAGCCCAAAGACCTCTTGGGATTCTGTTTTGTCGGTAGGATCTTCCTTATAACCCTGGGCCACTATCTTAACTCCAGGCCAGGGCCACACCCTACTGACGGATCCCACAATAGCCTATGCTATATCACCCTCCCCCTCTTCTGGAAAGGCAGTTGAAGTTGGCGACGTTTGCTCATTACAGCATATGCCCACTCCTCTCTCCTTCAAAATTCCTGCTAAGAGAAATGCCTGCAGCAGTGGCGGAGGCAGGATTTTACTGAGGCAGGATTGAGAGCTCTTACGGGAAACAGCAACTTCTCCAGACACCTAAGTGTTTCATTTTCTGTAGATGGTATCTGTCAACTAGACAGTATTTGGCTCTCAAACCAACCAGCTGGGCTAATTTTTTTTTCTCCTTAAGTAATGCCGAGAATAACGATTTTCTTCCTCGGCTACTCTCTTCTCTCTCACTCTTCCCCCACCTGCTAAACATCAGTGAGTCTTTCCAAAAGGGCTTTACCATCCACCTCAAGGTGTTACAACTAGGACAGTTTTCTGTTACTCCAGCCAGGAAAAGAGAAAGTGAATTCAATGGAGATGTGTGGGATTTATTTTTCATTTAGGTATTTTAAGTGGGTGTTACATGAGAAGATACATGTAAAGCATTTTGCAAACCCTTAAGAGTGGCATACAAGAGAGTTATTATTATTATTATTATTACTAGTAGTAAAAATAATTATAACCTATGACTCCAAAGAGTACACTCCTGACTCTAGCTCTTCTGGTGGGAGAAAAGAACAGGACAAGAGGAATAAATTGTAAGAGGAAGGAGGATGTTCAGAGGAGAAACTAATAAATATAGAACATGCTTTCTTCCTCTGGTATCATGCCAAGTTTTTTTTATTAGTTTTTTTGTAGATGGTCCTCAGATTTTCTTTCTGTTTCTCTCAGTAAATCAGTCCTCTTGGTCTGGGGAAGGAGAAAAGGTAACATCAGGGTATTTCTTTAACTCTGTCCCCCACACCCAGGACTGCTGTCTGCTGTGATAAGTTATGGCTGACTGAGATTCATGTACCAGCATTTCATTTCCACTTAGGTTCCATTGGGGGCTGTCACTCACTTTCTGCCTTTATGAGCTCTTCGCTCTTTTCTCATCTTATTCCTGCCCCACCCCTAATAGTGCACAGGATTGTGGGAAGGAACTCAGAGGAGACAATGGCTTGGATTGGAAACCTTCACTGAGACCCAGAGCACAGCAAGGTCCATGGCATGGCGGAGGCAGTGGATTAAATCTGGAGCAGGAAAAGGCTTGGCCATTAGGGTGAACGTGTAGCAGGAAAGAGAAGGGAGGCTGCCATTACATCTGGAGCATTCACAGACTCTTCAGGTTTCCCAGCAAGTACCTTAATGAACGTTTCCATACGGCCGTTAAAGAGTTTATGATTATACACTGAGAGAGGCCTAGGTCTCCTCATTTTCTGTGGTTTAGGGGGAAGACATGGGGGCCTAGGGGAAAACGGAACAAAAGAAATCAACAAAACAACCAACGTAATAAACAGGCAACCGGAAAAGCTCTGAGAACTCATGGCCAGTGATGTGCTTGGAGGGTAGGGGTGGGTGGAGATGGGGGTGGAGATGGGGTACAGAAATACACCACCACAGTCCTTGAGTCCCAGGGCTTCTGTTTACAGCACTCCATCTGTAAGCCTTCAGAAGTGTATGACTATACTTAAAGAAATCTCAGTTACCCACCATGTTAAGCAGTTTTTAGGATTAAACTGTTAAGGAAACATGAGCATGTAACTGAAATACATGCTAAATCACTACTATTCAATAGGAAGAAAATAATAACATCATATCCCAAAGACCATTGCCATGTCAATCAGGAGGTTGCCATCCTGAAAAGCTGACAAGATGGAGAAGAAATCAGGAGAGAGAGAGATGTAATCTGATAGCCTGAGAAAGCAAGAGACTTTCAAAGATGACCATAAAGGGTAATTTCCATTGTTTTGGCTGAAATTCAATGTTCAATTACAGCAAAATTATCTTCCTGATGCTTCCTGACATTTCGGATGCACTGGATTAATCTTATCATACTGGCCCGCTATGAACCAGGTAATTATTATCCCCATTTTACAGATGAAAAAGCTGAGGTCTAGGGAGAGGGTCTCACTTGAATGAGATTAAAAAAAAAAAGTGAATTAGTACTTGAACCAGAAACAACCAGATATAACTCCAGCCCATTAGCCATTGGCCCCAAGGTCTGTCAGCTGGGCTGAAAGTGTCTTGCTTTACTTGAAGCTGCCTTTTCCTGAGCTCTACTCTTCCACAGACTAGAGCAGCCATATGAGAAAACACCAGCACGATTCACCAGAGACAGTGAAACAGCCACGGACACTGGACACATTTCCAAGATTGCTTAACATGCATATTCCTGTGGGTTTCTATTTGCTCATCTTTTATTACCCAGGGTGGCCTGACTCAACATGGTTATTTTCCTGGAATAATCTATTTGAGATTAAAAAAATTCCCACCAACCAAGAGAAAGGGTCACAGTTTTAGAGGTGGAAGCTTGTCCTGTAGTGTCAACCTCAAATAGAAAAGAATCCTTGCAAGCCACAGACTGACTTAGAAAACCACAAATCAACATTACCTATGTTGTACTGTATTTTATTAAACATTCTCAAATTACATTTTAATCTGGCTCAGGACTCACTAAGGAGTTTTACCTTACCAGCCATGAGTTTGACACCTTGGATTTTACTTTACAGATGCGGAAACTGAGGCCTAGAGAGATTTAGAGACTTGACCAAAGTCACACAGTAATACATGGCAGAAATGAGATCTAAATCCAGGTGTTCAAAGTCCAAAGACAGTCTAGGAGCCTGAATAGAAATCTGGAAGCAATAGTGGGGCTCCTCTCTGGGGGTGAAGTATAGAATTATAAAACTGGAAAGAATATCTCCCCTTTCCATTTTATAGGTGAGGGGACTAACACTCAGGGAAGTGACTTACCCAGGGTCACACAGGGCTGGCAAAGAGTGTCAAATATGCCAACTGGAACTTCTGCCAGGTCAGTCATAGGGCAATCCCACGGACAAGCATGGTTTCTTCCCTGCTACTAGGGTACTTGTTGGCTTACTGTACCAATATGCCCAGCAGACCTAAGAAACCCACCTGATCCTCCCCCAGATAGCAAAGAGCAAATGTTGCTGGTCCCAGGCAGGACATGCATGGAAGACACAGCTGACATCCAAAACAGCTAGTTACAACCACTATGAAAACAAAGACTGAAGGGGTCAGTTTTACATGGAAAAAGTCTAAAGAAACAACTCAAAAAGGTTGAGAACACAAGAGGCAAGATTCTTCCAAGCCCAACACCAATCTGCAGAATCTTGGTGAGATAAATCCATCTACGTCATTTTTTTTTTAAGTGGCCTTTTGGGGGCTGTCGGTAGTCTCTCTGCTTTGGTGCTGCTGAGTAGTATGACCGAATACCAAAAATTCAGCACTAGGCCACAGGCTTCTCAACTCTGGAAGAGGGTGAGACTTGAAGAAAACAAATATGTTTACCTTGTTTGAAGCAATGGATTGGGGGGAGGGGGAGGTGGGCAGCAGAGAGCAATGGAGGGAAGGGTATTCTAACTTCTTCAAGGGATTTACACATCCACAATTTAGTTTTATCCTCACAACAACCCTGTGAGGTAGGCAGAGATTATTATGCCCATTCTACAGATGAGGAAGTAGTGGAGACTCAAAACAGTGCCTAGGTTCACATAAGTTAGGTAGTGGTAATGATAAGTGGTGATGTATTCAGGTCTCTGAAACTTGAATCTTCGGGACCAGGGGCACACAGAATTCTGGAAATGGTTTTGTCATGCACTATCCAGTGGAATGGAGGAGGCTTCCATGAAAACTCAGGGCCAGTATTACCAGATCCCCTTTGATGCACAGGCTGGATATATAAGGAAAAAAAAAACCTAGGGTATTTGCCTGGAGGCCTCCTCTTAAAAACAAACACGAAAACAAAAAACCTCTCAGTCCTTTGGAGCCTGGAGACACAAGGCAAAGGAAAGAGGCAGGAGACAATTCCACTTGTGTTGTCCACCCCTGGAAAGAAAGCTAAGGATCAGTTAAAAGCAAACAGATTGATTTCGTGTCAAGGTGCTTTGGAAGGAGGCCTCTGAGGTGGCATTCCAACAAGGAAACAAAGGGGTCCCCACTTTGTACAACATCAAATTGGTGCAGACTTACTGAAGTGCTGAATGGGACACAAGGTGGGGAGCAGAGGAAGGGCTCAGCCAGGGAAAGTGAGGCAACCTAAGTCTTCCATCTCTTCTGCTGGTCAGTGGCAGAGAGAGACAGAGAGAAAGAGAGACAGAAACAGAGAGAGAGAGAGGGACAGAGAGAGAGTGACAGGTATGAGGAGGAGAGGAAGAGAGGGGAAGAGAGAGACACACACACAGAGGAAGAAGAGGAAGGAGAAGCAGAAGCAGAGGAAGAAGAGGAGGAGGAGGTTGAAGAAGAGGATGAGAAGAGAGGACAAAAAGGAGAGGGGGAGCAGAGGGAGAGAGAGAAGGGAGAGGGAAGAGAGAAAGAGAAGAGAGTAAGGAAGAGAGAAGGTAAGGAAAAGATAGAGGGAGAGAAAGATACAGGGGAGAGGAGAGAAAGAGGGGAGAGGAGAGAGAGAAAGAGAGAGATAGGGGGAGAGGGAGAACACCACAGACACAGAGAGGAAAAAAGAGAAACCAGGAAATAATGTTCCCTTTCAGTCTCAAGTTGGATCAAATTAACACAAAATGTAAGACCTGGCCTGAAGTTTCTCCAGGGGATAAGATGACAGCAGAACCCTACAGAAATGCCCTGCACCCCCTTTCAAAATGGACACAATGATCCAGTACCACTGGAAAGACACAACAATCCATGGAGGTGAACATGTTAGACACAGTCTCCAAGAATGCCTCTGATTGGGCAAGAATTCTCACGTGATTTTTCCTATAAAAGTATCCTCGAAAATCAGCCTGGACAACAGCTGCCAGATTTTAGTTTGGAGAACATAATCTGACTCCAGCACAAGGGAAGAAGTTCATGCACTAGGCAGCCAAAATCAAGACTTCGGGGACAGTCCTGTATGTGTCATGGTCTATGTACAGAAGCTTGTCTCTTTGCAAAGACACCAACCGACTTGCAAAACAGCAGTGCAGACCTTCCCAGACTCTCATCAACAGTAGTCATCATTCAAGTTTGTTTGTTACCCTTGGCATAAGTACACCAGGCACTGCAGAAAGAGGTCTGAGTTTAGAGAAAAGCTGGATTCTGGGTGTTGTAGAAAAGTGAATTTTTAAGACACATATAGAGTTGAAAAACAGTGAGGTCAACAACCACCTTTTCCCGTCTCATCTCCCATCCCCTATTCTTCTCTTCAAACCCTGTGCACCACAGGATCCACCATCTATATTGGGAAGCTGTACTGCATAACAGAATAAGCATTAGCCTTAGAATTTAAAGATCAAGGTCAAAGTCCCTGCTCTGGCATGTACTGGTTGTAGGACCTCAGAAGGATCGTTTGTTTAAAAAAAAAAAAAGACCAAAAAGAAAAAAATAGTGAGGTCAAAACAAGTTAAACCTGATTTAAAGCTAGAAAGTGATACTTATTTAATTCATTTATTGTTCTATACTTTAAGTTACTATCAACTCACTAAAGGTAGGCTTTCTTTCCCATTACTTACCAGTTTCAAACTCAAGGTTTCTAAAAGTGATTTCAAATTAACTTTTTGAAAACTCAAATAAAAACTGGTTTTTGTTTTGTTTTCATTTTAGCAACTCCCCATCTACCATTAGATAGTGAGCTCCTTGAGGGCAGGGACTGTCTTTTGCCTCTTTTTGTAGCCCTAGTGCTTATCACAATGCCTCCCACGTAACAAGAGCTTTATAAATGTTTACTGATTGATTGATGAATTACCAATTGTAACTAGTCCGGTGTCTTTGTAAACGGACTAATTTCTACACATGGGTTAAAATGGCTATTGGACCTGGCCTGGAGATGATTTTGGAGATGAAGCCTCTTGGACCTCCAGCTGAAAAGCAACAACCAAAACAATAACTTAAAAGGTTACAAGGCAACCCCCTGAGGAGCAGTCCACAGGTTTGGTAGCAGATACTCTCTCCTGAACTTTGCTGTGTGGAGCAAAATCATGTGTCCAGTGAGCTCCGGGAACTGGAGGGTGGTAGAAGCTTTCATCTTCTTCACTCTTTGTAACCTTTGCTGGGAAATGTGGTCTTTAGTGCTGCTGAGATGGGGAATATGCTCTTCTGACAAAGTGGGATTGTCAAGAAGCAATTAATGGGCTTTAAAATGTTCTTAGAAAGCTGTTCTGCATAGCCACTCACCCATATATGCTAAGAGGCCCACAGTCTTAAGCTAAAAGTCATTCTAATGTTTCCAGGCCACTGGGACCAGAGATAGAAGCTGCCTGCGTTAGTCCTAAAAAGGACTCCTGATTTTCCTGCCTAGATCCCCCAGCAAAAGGAAAATTGTTCAGCTCAACCTTCTCTATATTCCAGATCCCTTTCCAGGTCAATATTCATCAAGTTGTTTAGATGGCTTCCAACTCTCTCCATGGGACAATGTCTGAATTCACATAATGTAAGACCACTTGGTGAAGCTTCTGGAGACAGAGTCTACCCTTGACATACTCTCTGGGGAGAGATGGGGGGCAGAAGAGAAGCCTGGCAGCCAATAACTTTGCTTCTTTCTCACACCAGGGTGGGCCATGAAGGCAAACACTTCCAGTGCTTTCTAAGCATGGGTATAGCTGCCATGGAAGGAGCTCCTGGAGAAGCTCTGAGGAGTCCAGAAGCCAACAGAGCCTGCAGAAAATCCCAGTCTTGGGGAGCGTTGTTCGTTGTATTTGTTGGATTCTCAAAATGCCTCCCTCCCTGACCCGGCCAAATATCTGACAGCTCTGAAGCATCTGTTTAATTTGGAGGCATCTCATGGTGGCACACTATTGAAAGCTGACAATGATCTTAGCTGCACGATGCCCTTGCTTTCCCAGGAACCCCACCTATTTCTGTTCTTTGTTCACTGTTTAGCCCCACATCAAAAGTACTAGCTCTTTTACTGGCTTGAGTTCCTGTGGATCACTCTCTAGCCTACAAACACATTCAATAAAATGTCCTTTCTACCAAAGAGAAATCAACAAGAAACCCAGGAGACCAGGACCACTGACCACTCTAAAAGGATGACCACCTTGTCAACAGTGGTCCAGGAGTAGCCAGCAAATCATAGAGCAGGTAGGCACTTGAGAGAGAGACCTGAAGTAGAGAATTTTATAGGGGTGGAGGGAGTTAAGGGTCAACAGTTGGCTTCTTTTTCAAAGAATAACCAAAAAAAGGGGAAGGGCACTGCCTGAAATTGCCTACTTGCTCAGTTAATGTCAGCTGTTTCTCTTGAGATAATAGGCTGGAACATGAGGGCTAGGGAAAATGGGTGGACATGGAGGCTTATGGGGGCAAGGGTACAAAATCTAAAAGTCTTGGTAATCAGTAGTAAACACTTAGTGCCTGTCTTGGGCATGAGCACATTGCTTAGTGTCCTGACACAGTCAAATCATGGTTGTGTCATAATTGGCCCTGATTGGCCAAAGAGTAACTCAATAAGCCTAGAGTAGAGCATAACCACCTGAAGGTCTCCTAGAATCCCAGCATGTGGTTCGAGCCCCAGCAGTGTAGATGAGAGTCAGGACCTCAGTAATACAAAGAAATCATTGTCTCATACAATGCAGTAAAAGGCTGCCCAAATACAACCCATCTCAGTATCCGTGTCCCAGGCCTACAGTTCATAATGCTATCAAGTATTTAGGAACCAGCTGGCTAGACATGATACTGTAGCTAAAAAAGGGTTTGTCAGGTCTTACGAATCTCCTCATTCGGGGGCATCAGGAATATCACAGTGTATTTAAGCTCTTCCCCATCATATTCCCCATTGTGGTACCCAACTCGACACAACCCTGTCCAATAAGAACCATGCACTGAAGCCAGGGACCATGGCCTACCTCAGATTCCAATGGAGACAGGAAAGAAACAGTCAGCCCTCTCCTCCCTCCCCCCAACCAAGTAGGTTAAAAAACAAAGCCTTGGGGCTCTTACCTTGTGGTGCCACACTCTGCTCTTTCACCTAGGAAGAAAATTACATGTGAATTTTCAGGTGGTTTTCTTATCGAGAGATGGCCCGATTATCTTTTAAAAACAAGACAACCCCCGCCCCCCAGATCCAAGTCTTTACACCAGAAGTCAACTGACCGTAACAAATAAGAAAATGAACGCACCTGAAGGTACCTGTGGCTGCTCTGCCACTGATATACCTGCCCACAGACAGGCCTTTAAAAGGTCTGGGCATCTTAGAATCCAGGGGACCCCAATGGTATGACTGCTTCCATTACCAGAAAGAGAGAATAGTGCTAGGAGACTGATAATTCAAGGCTGTCCCTAGTGGCAATGGATAAGGCAAATCACATTGCCTAGCACACGTAAGTGTTTAGTAAACGTATGTTGATTGACTGATTGATTGATTGATTGGTACCTTCCTTCCAACATTTTGATTCAGGTTATAATGGGAGATAGCAGATGGACAACCAAGTGCTGAAGTAGAATCCACAAAAGAACCAGCACAAGACTTCTGGGGCATTGGGTAGGTCTTCTAATGAGGACTTAATGGTAAGTCAGAGACAAGAATTAAATAGAACAAGAAGGAGTGGATGGGCCCTAATCTGCCCCATATTTATGAGGTCAAGGATTATGAGATCCTAGACTCTATGCTATAAGAGACCTTAGAGGTTATCTAGTCCGACCTCCTTATTTAACACATGTGGAAACTGAGGCACAAGGGGATTATGTGACTTGCCCAAGGTCATTCAGATAACAATAGCAGAGCTGAAACACAAATCCAGGTTCTTTGATTCCAAATCCATCACTCTATTCAAGTGAGCTCTGGGAATTGGGGTGGTGATGGTGGCCATCCCTTGTGGGTACCACATTGCCTCCAAATATCAAAATAAAGTAATGGCAACTTAAAATGAAAGAGAACTCTTGGAACGATAGCCCAAGAGTTATATTCAGAAAAAAGGAAGGTTCAGATCCTTCCCTTTGCTATGGTCTTTTCAGTAGACCTGGGCTTTGAGAAGCTCCAGCCTCCTGGCTGCCACTACACCACCAGAACCCCAAAACAAAGGACCCGAGATGTTGGCCCTGACTTACTGAAGCCCAGGGATGGCCTATAGCTCTCGGGATTGGGGGCAGCAGAGCTCTGGCTCCTGCTTCATGGACTACCTTCCAAGGGAACCTAGCTCTACAATAGTTCAATGTAGCTCTCCCAAAGAAATAACCAATACTCCCATAACAAAATGTTTCAAACTCTAATACAGGCTCAGATCTCACCCAAGTAACCCCTGAAGATCCACCAAAGGAGCCTCTCTCTCCTTTCCAGGGCACTCAGTAAAGGAATGTGATTTGAGGCATGATGGGTTAGGCGAAGGGAGTTGTGTGTGAAGAAACAAGAAAAGATTCTCTCTGGATAGGCTGGCAGAAAACCAAAGATCCTGGGGTATCCTAGAGCAGCGCTGTCAAACTAAAACAGAAACAGGGACCACTAATTCATACATAATGATCCCCGTGGACCACACATTGACCTAGCTTTAAAATGTAATGTTGTCTATATTTTATTGTATTTTTATTTATTTGGTTAAATATTTCCCAATGCATCTTAATCCGGTGCACTCAGGAAGGTTTTGGGCTGCATATGGCCAACAGGTTCATGTTTGACACCTCTGCCCTAGAGGCTGACTGGGGCCCAAAGCTAGTGACGTCAAAGGGGCCCAAAGCTCAGCAGAGCTTGGATGGGACACTACCAAAAAGGAGAAGAACTTCCACAGAGAGTGGTGCCAAGCTCAGTGGGAGTCTCCATCCCACTTGAGGGGTGGTCGGGGGAGGGGGTTCTATTCACAAGGGGTTTTTGCAAAGTTTTGTTTGGGGTTCTGGAATGAGAAGTGACACTGGCTCATTTGTTCTAAGAGTCCTGAAGGCCCAACAACGGCAGAGGCATTAATGGTGGATCTAACAACGTAACATGGGAAGGGGCAGCTCTCAGTCCTCGACTGAGGATCTAACAGTTAATTCACCAACCCTAGCGCAAATGGAAGAACTGTATGCTCTGGTATAGAAAACCAGGCTAAGTAAGTAAAACCAGGTGGAAGCGAACCCTAGCCTAGCCATCAGCAGCTCACACAGATCATCCACCCAGGGGAGCAGCAGAGAGCACTGGCACCCCAACAACCCCAACCTGTTGGCAAGGCCTCAGTCACAGACTGTGAGCTCCCTGAGGACAGGAACTGGGTTTCTGCCTCTCGTTGAATTTCTAGCACTTAGCACAGGGCCTAGCACACAGCAGATAATAATAATAACGATGATAGCTAACATTTATATAGCGCTTACTAGGGGCTAGGCCCTGTGCTAAGTGCTTAATAAATGTTTGAGGACTGACTTATTTGTATGCGCTGGCTTTATACACATGCATTATGTTTTATAGGTATTTATTGTCTCCTCCATTAGATGTAGGCTTCTAGCGAGTACAGCTTGTCTCGCTGCTTTTACTTATACCTCCAGTGTCTAGCATAGTGCATAACACATAGTAGGTGCTTAATAAATATTTGTTGATTGATTGATTGGTGAAAATGTTAATGTGCCTGGTGAATGGCAAACAACCCGATTTGTTTTGAAGCTCAGGGTGTAGGAAGAAGAATAACGTGAGAAGGCTGGAAAAAGTAACCTGAAGCCCATCTGTGGAGGACCCTGAGTGCCAGGCTGAGGATTAGGACTTTAATGAGAACAAACTGACATCTTTTCTTACCCTACCATTTGCAAGGCCATGGTGGGATCTCCTCCTTCCCGGAGCACTGGAAGGCAGATGCTGGTTGCCATGACAAACAAACAGTCCCGGGGCCTCCTTCTCTCTAGCTGCCTCCCGCATGGTCTCTTCTAGCCTTCTGCTTCAGACTCCATCCCCTGGAAGGAGTTCCTCTCTACCCCGAACCTCCCCACCCCACCTCACCCTCAGCCCTGCCTCACTCCTGACTGGTGACGGCCTCTCCAAGAGCGCTATTTCCCGAAAGCCGAAGCCTTCGTTCACTTCACTCCCCGGCTCTGGCCACCTTCTCCACAGCCTCCTTGCCCAAGAAGCCAACCATCGACTGCTGCTCTCTGCCCCTTCCCCCTCTGGCTCTCTAATGAAGACACGCGGTCAATTGATATCCGTTATTGATGCAGGACTTGTCGATCAGTCATTTTTCAGTCGTGTCCAACTCTTTGTACCCCATTTGGGGTGTTCTTGGCAAAGATACTGGAGAGGTCTGACATTTTCTTCTCCAGCTTATTTTACAGATGAGGAAACTGAGACAAACAGGGTTAAGTGACCTGCCCAGAGTCACACAGCTACTAAGTGTCTAGACCAGATTTAAACTCAGGATTGTTCCTAGATGGGGTGTGTTAATTAACTCACTTCCCCATCTCACTGCCTGACCAAAATGCCCCTACCTGGCTAGCACTCTCCTCCTTATGTAGTCTCCCTCATTAAAATGTAAGCTCCTTGAGGACAGGAGTTGTCTTTGCTTTGTATTTCTATCACTTGGGCTTAGCACAATGCAGGGTACCTAGTAAGCCCTTAATAAATGCTTGCTCGCTCATTCATTCATTCATCTTTCTCTTTCTTCTTCCTGAAGCATTTTTCTTTCTTTTTTTCTTTCTTTTTGGTTTTGGTGTGGCAATCAGGGTTAAGTTACTTGCCTAGGGTCACACAGCTAGTGAGTATCATGTGTCTGAGGCCAGATTTGAACTCAGGTCCACCTGACTCCAGGGCCGGTACTTTATCCACTGTGCCACCTAGCTGCCCCTTCCTGCAGCATTTTTAAACAGAATCCCAGCGTACTTCCAGAAGCCCACCAAGGGTGTCTGGCGGAGGCAGAAAAGCCAACCACAAAGGCTACCAGGGTGAATACCACAACACTGGGGACCAATGTCCCAAGGAGGTCAGTCAACAACCATTCACTAAGCATCCTGGAAATGCCATATTGTGCTAAGCTCTGGGATTCCAAGGAAAGGCAAAAAACAGCCTCGCCCTTAAGGCACTCAGTCTAATGTGACTGAAGACAAAACATGTACACAACTTTATACAAACAAGATATAAATTGGAGATAATCAACAGAAGTTTTGAATCAACTGGAACCCTGACCAGAGGAAAAAGGAGATGAGTCAGAGGTTTTTCCCATTTCCTGGCTTTCTACAGCATCTTTCCCTGAGAATTCAGAATCCTGCTGTGTCGATTATCTCATCTTACTCACGGGAATTAGGATGGAGCAGGGATCAATTTCCCTCATTTTGCAGATGAGGCCCATAAAAGTCAGAATGGCTTGTCTAGGGACATATGGGGAAGAGCTAGAAGCCAGCTGCCCATCTCCCAGACCACAGTGAAGGCCTTGGGAAATATCACTATAAACCTCTCCACCCATGCCCACACTCAGATACTAAACAGCTAACTAGGATCCTGAAATCACAGGGAGAGCGAATTAGAGTAGAAAAGAGCCCAGAGATGTGAGGGTGCCTGGGACTTTGGGGGACTTTGGAGTGCTCTCGTGGAAGGGGGATAGTCAAGGGGAATGAGGCAGAAAACAGGATGGAGAGTGGAAGATGAGAGACTCCAGTGGCAGCCAGAAGGTCATTACTAAATAAGTCTCTTTGACAGTGATGTCCCAGGAGTTCCTGGGTAGGGAAATCACAAGTCCCATGTATGGTCCAAGATGTCAGCTATAGAAATTCAAAAAGTATAACATAAGAAATAAGTTCTTTACTTTATCAAAATTGGGTGGCTGAGATGGGGCATGGTAAGGAAGTGATGGTGGGGGTTGGGGGGGAGAATACACAGCAAAGAAGATAGAGAAATGGAGTCTGAGGGGATAGAAAGCACTCGCATCTCCAGCCCTGTGATGGTTGCTATTGTTTAGTCATTTTCAGTTGTGTCCAACTCTTCATGACCCTATTTGGGGTTTTCTTGGCAAAGATACTGGAGTGGTTTGCCATTTCCTTCTCCAGCTCATTTTACAGATGAGGAAACCGAGGCAAACAGGGTTAAGTGACTTGCCCAGGGTCACACAGCTAGAAAATGTCTCAGAGTTGAATTAAGGAAGATGAGTTCCTGATTCCAAGCCAGGCACTCTATCCACTACACCTCTTAGTTGCCCTCTAAACATTTATTAAGCACTTCCCATGTGCCAGGCACTGTGCTAAGAGCTGGTGAGACAATGAAAGGCAAGAACACATTTCTTGCCTTCAAGCAACTCACCTTCTAATGGGGAAAACAACATGCAAGTCATTTTGTATTTAAAAGATACAAACCAACAGTGTAAATCCAAAGTCCTCTCTCAGGGAAAGCATTAGCAGAGGCAGTGGAGGAGGAGGCTACCCAGAAGGGCTTCCTGCAGAAGGTGGGATTAGAGCAGAGTCTTCAAGGAAGTGTAGGAGGCCAGGAGCAAAGCAAGAAAGACTTCTCATCGCAACCTGCCCCAACCCTTTCGAAAAGCCAGGGATTCTGAGAGACAGAGATGAGGAGGGGGTGCAGTCCTGACACAGGAGACAGCTAATGGGGTCAGCAAGTTCAGAGGACAGCCAGCAGACCAGTGTGGCTGAAACATAGCATCCATAAATGGGAGCCCTTGGTGAAAAGATTGGAAAGGTGCTGGGGAGGGCTTTTAATGGGGAGGGCTTTAAACCTCAGGTTCCTCAGAGCTTAGCAGTTTATCATAGAGGGAACAGAGAGCCACAGAAGATTTTAGAGTAGGCATCTGTGTCTTAATAACATAAATTTGGCAGAGTGTGGACGATGGGCTGGAGATGGAAGAGACTAGAAGCAGGCATACCAGCTATTACAAGAGTCCAGGCAAGAGGTGATGAGGGAGTGAATTAGGATAGAAGCTGTTTTCAGGGACAGGAGACAGCTGTGGAAGTAGAATCAATAAGATTTTATATGTTCTGGGATGAGGGAGATTACGATTTAGAGCTGCAAGGAATTTTAGAGACTACTGAGTCTAATGCCCTGTTTAGCAGATGAGGAAATTAAGGCATGGAGTGGTTAAGAGACTTGCCAGCATTATACAACTAGTAAGTGTCAAAGGTAGGATTTGAATTCAGATCTTCTTGATTCCGAGTCTAGCACGTGGTCCGCTATGCCATGCCACCTTTCACAATGGAAGAAACAAAAATGATTCTGAGATTGTAAAACCGAGTAACTGTCAGGATATTGGTGAGCAGGTGTTTTGCTGTTGCCCAATATGACTGAGAGACTCACAGGATAGCTAAATTATCACACACACACACACACACACACACACACACACACACACACACACACTCCTATGCCAAACTGAGTCAATTTCCCATTTGCCTTAAGAGTCCCAGAGTAAACACTCAGATTATGGTAGAAAGCCATGATACAGAGTAAAACCCTATTATATAAAGCCTCACAATACTAGGGATTTGGTTATCTGAGAGCCAAGGTAAGAGTATCTTCCTATAACCCAGAAAGCTTAGGTTGCAAGGTTTACCTGATCCCTCGACACCCCTGTAAGCACAGGGTTTCCAAAGCTTTCGGGCATCTGCAATGGTTCAATCAGTTACCTGCCCAATGCTGGAAATTTATCAGGATGAAATCTGCAAGACCCTGGATTGATGCTTTTCTTTAAATTTTTCAAAGACTCTTTCAAGTTTCCATTTCAACTTGATTCACATACGCTTGGTCCCATGAAACATGCCTGGCTCCATCATCAAGAGATAAATCTCACCCAGAATCATAGATCATTAGGGACAGAAGGAGCCTAAGGGATAATTCATTCCATCCCATTTTACAAAAGAGGAAACTGAGATCCTGAGAGGTAAAGTGATTTTCCCAGGGTCACACAGCAAGCTACTAGCAGAGATGGGACTAGAATCTGGATCTCCTCCTCTTAGTCCAAGGCTCTTTCAACTACATAGAACGAACAAATGCCCAAGACCCCCCAAAATAATGGGCAAGACCCAGTGGTGTGTGTGTTGACTCACCTCCTAACCCTTTGTACTCACTTTTAGCAAAAGGCATAAGAGAGACAAAAGCAAAACATGGAAAGTGCTGGTTCAAACAGAACCTGGCCCTTGTTGTGATGGGCTGGGTTTACCTTGGAGCTTGCAGGCAGAGTAGAGGGTCCTTCATGCATTTCCTTGGGATGGCCACTGTCCCATGTCCACAGAAATGCCATGGTTGTTTCCTAAAACTTCAGAGCCCTGAGATTCTCCTGCTGAGTTCTTCTCTCATCATCCCTCCAGTTCTTTTTTTCCCACATTTATTTATTTTATTTTTAATTTATGGAATAAAACAAGTATTTCCATAACATAGCATAATAAAAAGTATGATGGCACATGAAACTGCAAATCTATTATTGCTGGCAGAATTGTGAACTGATCTAATCATTTTGGAGAACAATCTGGAATTATGCCCAAAGAGTTATTAAACTGCCTGTGCCCTTTGACCCAGCAATACCACTACTAGATCTGTTTCCAAAGATAAATAAGGGAAAAGGGAAAAAAACCTATATGTTCATCCCTATACTTTTAAAGCTGTGTTTCCAAGGATCATCAGTGGTTAGCTCAGAGCTCCAAGAAAAGATTGTTAAATCACATCTTGAAGCAAGGTGGGGCGGAAGGCTAAATAAACTTGGAAGACTAGATGGGTCAGGATCTGAGCCAACTAAAACTAATTAATTTTTTATTGCATTAAGAGCATCCATGCAAAGATTTAACAAAAGATTGCATTTGCTATGGCTAATGGCAGAGCAGGAAAGAAATACTGTCCTCCAAGTAAGAGTCATCCAAAAACCTATAAAGCCTCCGTCTTCCAAAGAGGAGATAGCTCACTTAGGAAAACAATGCTAAGGCCGCTGCTAGTAAACTTCCTTGGCTCTGCTTTAGCTGTCCTGAAAGCCTCTAGCCAGTGCCCTAGTTTTAAAGGTAAGGCCCAAGAGATAAAGATATAGTTCACTAGGCATCTCCATGTCTCCCAGAAGCTGGTGGGCTGGAAGATTCTCCAGCTCCAACCAGATCTCACCCTAAGGGGCTAGATCGCTGCAGGCTCTAGGGAAGAATAAGAGAGCTGGCAGTGTGACAGTGCCTTGTACATGTTTGCTGAATGAATAAATGTGGAAGGAAGGACAGTCTTGGTTGTCCTGGAAAAGGTAGGAAGTATGGGAGGGGAATTACAAAAAGCATTAGGCAGAAGAAAGGACCTAAGTGAACAGAAATAAGCCAAGAATGACTCTCTCTGTCCTCTTGTGCCTTACCAGCCTCATCTTGTGCACTAGGCTTCAGCCTATTCATCATTCTCTGAATACGCCTTGGGCTTTCCCGCCTGCATACCTTTACCCAGCACATTCCCTTGACCTGGTACGACTGCCCGCTGCCCCTGGAACTATCCAACAAAACCCGATTCACTATTCAGAGCCCAGTTCAAACATCACCTCCTCCAAAAGCTGTCCTTAATCCTCCCAAATCATATGATTCAGATCACCAAGGACCTCAGAGATCTAGTCCAATGCCTTTCCTTTTACAAATGAGGAAACTGAAGCCCTAGGAAGGGCTGGTGGTTACAGTGCCTCTAAAGCATCATGGTCTTTTCATGGTCTCATAGAACTGGGTACACCTTATACATCTGTCACATTCTACTTTATACTCTCATACGTGTTTTAGTCCTCTCACTGGACTGAAAGACCTTTCTCTGAGGTCTTCATTGCATCCCTACACAGTGCCTTGCACACAGCAGTTGATTTATAAATACCCAATGAAGGAAGAAAGAAACACGCATTTATTAAGCACTAAATGCAGACTCCCCACCCCAGGCCCCTCAGCCCCAGTGTCTCCTCTTTCCTCTCCACCATCCCCTCCCTTCTTTCCCCAGAACTGCTACTACCTGGAGGGCATTAGGAATAAAGATACAAGGGAACTCTCCCCCATCCCTCACTGTAGTGTGGATTCCCTACATGGTACCCTAGCCCTGGAGTCAGAGGCATGGTTGGGCACAGCCCAGGGAATGGAGGGAAAAGAGATGCCAATCCTTGCTGGGCCACTCCCAGAGGAATCCCTCCAAGTCTGACAGGGCTCAGGGAGGAGCATTTGGCTGGTCACATGCACAAAAAGCCAAGACCAGAGAATTCCTTCCTCACTATGGGGCTTTAAAAGCAGGCCAGGAAACACAGGGCTTCTCCTGGGCCTGGAGCACACAACTCACCTTCTCCAAGGGTCTGCTTGAGCAAGTCATGCTTAGCCTGCAGCTTGGTGATAAGATTACTGCCATTCACATATTCTTTAAATTTCTGGAAAACATAAGGCAGGAGAGAGTTAAGGACAGTGGGCTAAAATGGTGGCTGCCACCATTGGGGTTCAGGTTGGTATTGGAAGGGGGATGCAAAAAGCAAAAGGAGAAAGAATGTGCCGCCCTCAGAGGAACCATACATCAGGACTGGGGTAAAAGGGACCCCAAGAGGGATTTCTGTTTGCTTTCTCACTCCATGCTATTCAAATATTGGTCTGTTGATCTTATTAACCTCCAATCCTTTGTCCCTGGGCATGCATTTCAGGTCAGGATTTGGGAACACAAGGAGTCCCAGAGAAAACAGCCCAATGAAAGCCCTCTTTTGTCAGCTGGAGCTCAGTGAAGCAGGGTTCCTTCTGTCATGGGACCTTGGGCTCCCTTTGTGCCAACAGCCATAAAGACAGGAGACCTTCCAGGGAGGGAAAAGGAGGGCTTTATCAGATCTTGCAGACAGCGGCTTCCAAACAAGTCTTATTTATTTGGGTTGTGGGTGAGGAACAAAGAGGGGATGAGGGGAGACGGTGCCCACTCTTCTAAATACATGCTCAGCAGGCAAGCTTTGATTCTGAAGTGATCTAATAATGATTTCTTTCATTTGTGTATAAACCCCCGCTTTCCAAAGTACCTTTATGCATTATCTTATTTATGATTGTTGTAGTGGTTCTTACGAGGGCATGTGGAACAGTGAACATTGAAATGGCCTGGGTTTAAGTCTGATGCATATAGGCTAGGTGACCCTGGGTAAGTCACTTAACTTCTCAATCTCTCAGCATCTCTCTAAGATGGGAATTTTTAACCTGAGATCCATGAACTTGCATTGCTGTTTTGGGTGTGTGTGTGTGTATGTGTATATGTGTGTGTGTGTGTGTGTGTGTGTGTGTGTGTGTGTGCGTGTGTGTGTGTGTGTGTGTGTGTGTGTGTGTGTGTGTGTGTGTGTGTGTGTAATTCTGATAACAGTATTTCCATATAACTGGCTTCCTCTGTGTTCCTATGTATTTTAGTTTACATGACTTTGAGAAGGGGCCCACTGGTTTCAGACTGCCGAAGGCGAGGTCCCTGACACAAAATGATTCTGTGCCCCAGCTCTAAGATTCTAAGGTATGGAAAAAAAAAAAAAGGTACAACCTGCATCGGTGGAAAGAGTTTCGTCAGCGTGGGAGTTCTTTCCAGCAATAAAATTCCAAGCCCCAGTCCCTATCCTCCTATTTGAGAAGAAAGCCTTCTTCAAAATATAACAAAGAGACAGTCTCAGAATCTAGAAGATCTAGGTTCAACTCTAGCCTCTGACACTGAGTAACTAGATGGCCCTAGGTAGACAGGTCACTTCCCCCCATCAGAGTGTCTCTGCCCCCTTCCTCTCCCTCCTCCACAACTTACCGTCTTATAGAAGTGTCTAAGACACAGAAAAGTTAAGTGACTTGCCCACAGTCACAAAGATATTATAATAAAATGATTCCTATTATTATTACTAATCAACAGCTAACATTCACAAATTGTTTTAAGCTGGGCAAGGTCTTCTCCCACAATAAACCTGTGATCTAGGCAGGGCAGGTCTGAAATATTATTCCACATTTTCCAAATAAAGGAATCGCAGCTCTAAGAGATTAAGCAGTTTGTCCGAGGACACACGTCTAGTAAGAGGCCAAGCTGATATCAGAAGCTAGGACGTCTGCCTGCCAGCTTGCTTCTTTCACCCACTAACCCCACTGTCTCTGATAGATGGTGGTCTATGCCCCAAAGGCCTAGTCTGTATTAGACTGATAACTTATTTATCTATCATCACAGGAGTTGGCTCATTAGAGAATGTAAACAAGCCTGGAGGTGGTATTTTTCTGTACCTTGGCTATCAATCAATCTGTGACACTCTCCCCTCCATCTACCCATCACCCCCCACCCAGGGCTGCATGTAGTTCTTCCAGCCTTTCCAGGATCAAGGGATCATGAAATTATGTAGAACTTCAGAGCTGGCAGCAACTTCAGAAACCAGCTAGTCCAGGACCTTTATTTTTCAGATGAAGAAACTAAAGCTCTGGGAAGTCAGAAGGAATTGCCCAGTGTAAGATCCATGAAGCAAGTATGAAAAATCAAGTTGCCACTGCAGATTTCCAAGTGCTGACACATTTAGAAGTGCTATGATGCCCTTGGAAACAGCTAAACAGATAATTAGGGGAAAATGAATTAGGCAGTAGCAGCTAGTGGCCCTTTGTCAAGACATTGGCTAATTCTGCCTTCCTCCCAGGATGGCTTATTCTTATTGGTGATCTATGCTAGGATCACAGAGTTCACTCTGAAAAGGACTTTGAAGGCCATCTGGTGCAACCCCTTCATTTTACGGATGAGGAACAGAGGCCCGGAGAGGTTAAAGTGATTTGCTCCAAATCATACAGAGCCAGGATTCAAACAGAGGACCCCAATTCAGCATTCTTTCCACTGCGCCACGCTGACTCTCTTTATCCCAGGAAATGAACCTTTAAGGGGCATCTCCAAATACCTCAACCAATGAGATAAAAATAATTTGGGTCCTTGCATGCATAGCTAGAGAGCTGTCAGTCCCTTTGGATGAATACCTACCTAGACTGTTCTCAAAGCACAAGGCCCAACTCTATCCTTCCACAAACACAACCCGAGAGTTCCTTCATGAAGCCCGGCACCTGCCAGGATGACGCATTCTCATTCCAGTCTACTCCAGTCTTTTTGAAGAACTCATGAGTTGTAATGAATTTACCAAGCGGCAAGATGGCCTCCACCACTGCGCTTTCCTAAAATCTCTATGCTCGTTCTTTCTCTCCTTTCAGAAGATCAGGAGGCTCCCTCTCCATGCCACATGCCAAGGGCAGGCACAGGGTTCCTACTGGCTCACGCTGCTCCCTCTCCTCCCCTTCCTCACACCCCTCCTTCTGCATCAGTCCGTTCCTTCTGGCTCAGAATCCAGCTCACCGTAAAATAAAACATTTCAGTTTCCTGCTGGTTGGCGCGCCTCTTGGCAATGTTGATTTTGCTCATATAAGTCTCAGATGCAGCGGATTTGATTGATTCCGTGGATCGACTGTGTTGGAAGGCATCAGAGACATCAAAGTCCTCCACTGTCAACATGTCCTGAAGGGTCTGCATGGTAGCATCCAGTGTTTTCCGGACCTGAGAGAAGGGGAAGCATAGTAACAACAATTCCATGCATTTCTCCAGCGACTTTCCTCCCCCTGTTATTTAATTTCATCCTTACAATGCCTCCCCAAAGGAAACACAGAATCAGAGATTTAGGGCTGGAAGGGGCCTCAGAGACCATCAAGGTGCAACCGTCTCATTTTATAGATGAAGAAACAGGGACCCAAAGACTTTATGGAACTTGCCCAAAGTCACACAGCTGGTAAGGGACAAATCTCAGACTTGAACCCAGGTCGACAAAGATATTAAGTGGCTTGCCCAAGGCTATATTATCCCCATCTTCCAGACAAGGAAAGTGAGGCACAGAAAAGCCAAGTAACTTGTCCAAAATCACCCAGCTGGTTAGTGGAAGAACCTGGGTCTCCTGACCTGGAAAAATTTCTAAGCATAACTCAGATCAAGGGATAGCCTGAAATTTGAAGAACACAAGAGTTGTTGTGGAAAGAGTCCATTAGGATAGATTACTCAACTTTTTTTTTTTAGGGTCTCTGCTTCCTCATCTGTGAAAAAAAAGTGGTTAGACTACACAGCCTCTAAGGTCCCTACCAGCTCTGGACCCATGATATGATGTCACACTTCTCTACAACATGATGTCACACTAGTCTATGACGTGATGTCACACTGCTCTACTATGACATGATGTCACACTGGTCTATAGCATGATGTCACAGTGTTCTATGATGTGATATCACACTGCCCTACAATGTGATGTCACACTGGTCTATGACATGATGTCACACTGCTCTATGACGTGATGTCACACTGCTCTATGACGTGATGTCACACTGCTCTACTATGACATGATGTCACACTGCTCTATGACATGAGGTCACACTGCTCTATGACGTGATATCACTGCTCTACGACGTGATGTCACGCTGCCCTACAATGTGATGTCATGCTGCTCTACTATGACATGATGTCACACTGCTCTATGACATGAGGTCACACTGCTCTATGACGTGATGTCACAGTGGTCTATGATGTGATGTCACATATCATATGATGTCACGATGCCTCATAAGAGAGAAGAGAACAGAAAGACACAACTTAGAGCCTCAGAAGAATTAGGCTTGAAGGCTACTGAGTCTGAGCAAGGATAGGAATTAGGAAACCAAATGAAGCTACTGCCTGGGTTTTGTTTTTTGGTTTTCCTTTGTTTTAGTGTCCAAGGGAGTTTGGGGAAGTTTGAACTTCATGGTTGGAGGGGAAGGAACATGTGTTACATAAGCAGGAGAAAACCAAGAAGAAACATGGAAACTCCCTAGGGGTAACCCTACATTTCTGCTCCTGCCCTGCATAGCATATAGGCCTACCTGGTCCAAAACAACCTTAGGGAAAGAAATATGCCCAAAGGGGAAGGGGCTTCTTACCTCTTCATTCTCTATCTTGAGGGTAGCTAGCCGGGACTGGAGCTGGTGGTAGCGCATGAGTAGCTCTGTCTGGACTGGCTGCTGGGCACTCACCTGGCACACCTGCGGGAGAAAAACCAAGTCAGAGAATGGGTCACGGTCCTCCTCTTCCATCCCCCATGCTGCTCTCTTTCCCCTCCTCAAGGATCAGGAGAACATAAGCCATGACACAGCCTGGCACAGTGGAGGGAGAGCCCACCATGGGAGTCTGGAAGTTATGGTGATTCAGTCATTTCAGTCACGTCTGACTCTTCACTACCCCACTGGGGGTTTTCTTGGTAAAAATATTGGAGTGGTTTGCCATTTCCATCTCCAGGGTTCAAATCCTGCCTCTGACACCCAGTGGTTGTGTGGCCTGTGTGAGTTACAGCCTCTCATCATTCCCAGGCAACTCTTTATTTTATTTTGTTTTTCTCCACTTAACAGTATTTTATGTTTTCCAATTACACGTAAAGATAATTTTCAACATTTACTTGAACTGTACACTGCAGAGCTCAAGCTGGTCTGTGCTGGTAGAAGGAATTTCCCCCCTTGAAAGCCTACACCATTAAAATCAGCAACATAAACCAAAAAGGCCACTCCATAGTTCCTCTGGTCTAATACTCTGCCCCTCATGGGGCAGGAAGGGATGGTTTACAAGACAGCATGATGACTGACCCTGACTCATTCCTCTAGAAGAGCAGGGAGATCATTCTGATTTATCAGAACCTCCAGAGCTTAGAGATCTTCCCTTAATAGTGTGAACTCCCCACTCCCTTTTATGGCTCAATATCCACTCTACAGGGCTATTGTCAGACTCAAATGAGATAAATTCCTCTACAAACTTTAAAGTTATATACATGCCTCCTATTGCTATCATTACATTATTCCTTGTAATATTGCTCTTACAACATAATACGTCATACATATTATTATACAGTTTACAAGCAAGCCTGCTATTAATAATGATCTCACATGCATTAATTTAGGTAAAATTTTCTTGAATCAATTTATATTTTCAAGCTTTCTCAATGCTTGAGGCAACCAGTGCCATAAATGTATTTCCTGGAGTGAAAAGCACAATCTCCTTCAATTTTAAAATCAGAGAAATTTAGAGCTGAGACGGACCTCAGAAACCAGTTAGTCTAAAATCTCACTGAAGACAGAAACAAGGCCCGGAATATTCTGGCCCAAGGTCACAGAACCAGTTGTTGACATCCTCAAAAGGTCACCACAGCATAAAGCAAGGGCATTTAACCTTTGGTGTGTTTCATAAACTCCTTTGGCAGTTTGGTAAAACCTTTTTCAACATCATGTTTTTAAATGCATAACATAAAATTCATAGGGTTATAAGGAAATAAATTATATTAAAATATAGTTATGAAAAAAAAATTTGAAGTTCACAGAACCCTAGGCTCAGAATTCCTGATACAGATGAAAGTATACTGGGTTGAGGTCAAGGACAACCAGGTTCCAGGCCCAATTCTCCCAGAAGCTACCTCTGTGTCCTTGGGCAAGTCATTTCCTGATTCGGTTTTCTCATCTGTAAAATGAAGGGGCAGGACTGTACAATTGTGTACTTTGCAGTAATACTATCTTACTTTTGTTTAGCATCTTTTGGCTTACAAAGAACTTTATGGAGGTTATCCGAATATCAAGGTCAATGAGTGTTTAATAAACTTTTTGCTGTTGTTGCTGATTGATAGTGTCCCCTGCTGTCAATCTAACATCACAGCCAGCTTTGATAGCAACCGAAAAGAAAATATGTCCATGATGTGGCATAGTGGGAGCCTGTATTCACCTGGTACAGTGGATTGGGAGTTGAAAGGACATGGGTTCCAGGGTGAGGCACACGGGACTTGTTTCACTTCTCAGTTCCCTTATCTGTCAAACAAGGGTGTGGGATTTTGTACCTTTCGGCTGTAAACCATAAGTCAGTTCATTCTCTCCATTTTACAACTGAGGAAATTGAGGGTCAGAGGGATGATAACCTTCTCAGAGTCAGCCTCACAGCTACTAAGGGGAAAATCTAAGACTTTAACCCAAGTGTCTCCTCCAAATTCAGGGTTTTCTCCACCACCACCCCCCTTCAGACCACCCTTTTCTAATGCAACCACTTTACGGCCCAGGTATGCTGACTTCAAAGACCTTTCCTCCACACCACACTGATTCTTGGGAAGACCCTGGCTCCAGTGTTCCAGAGTTCTGTGAACAGACTTCTCTAAACTTTAATAACCTCCCTGCTTTTCCTTGGGAACAGGTTTCCTGTCCGACAAGTAGAGACAAGCTTCAAAGGCCCAACATGTGGGTCACTTTACTTCTCAGAAAAGCAACTCATTCACTAAGACAATTTTCTTTTCAATGGTTTGAAATTCATTATGTAGCAGCAATCTATATCCTCTGATTCCAAGAAGGGGGCCCAGCTTCAGATTCTATTCTACCAGTAAGACCAGACTTCAAGGGCAGGATTCATGATGAAATGACATTCAGACAAGGGAAGTCATGGCAAAGCGGAACAAGGATAGGAAACAATGACAGCAGTTCTCATTCCCAAGATGGAAATTCTTCAGGGAATTGACTGGTTAGGAAAGAATTTTGTCATGATAATCCCCTTTCCCTAAACCTGTAGGAAATGGGAAGAATGACTCTTCTACCATCATCCCCTACACCGATTCCTTTACTGACATTGTAATCACAATGTAACAGAAAGAGTTCTGAATCTGGAGCCAGGAGACCTGGGTTGGAATCCTGGATCTGCTACCCACCACTTGTGTGATCATAGGCAAGTTAGTTAATTTCTCTGGCCCTGAGTTTCCTCTCCTGTAAAAGGAGGGGATTAGACCATTTTTCTAATTCTACAACTTAGGATGTACTGGCTGGGTCAAGAGATTTGGCCTATAACCAAAGTCAATGTGGGAGGATCACGGGATCATAGATTTTGAGCTAGATGGGACTCATCAATTCTGACCCCCTCATTTAACAAGTGAGAAATATGACACCAAGAGAGGGAAGTGGTAGATCCCCCCAAATGGAGGTCTATGAGCACAGACTGGACAGTCACTTGTTGACTGTGCTCTAGCAGGGATTCTTTTAAAGGTATAGACTGGAGCATAGAGCTGCTAAGGTCCCTTCTAATTCTAAAACTCTTCCATTCTGTCATTTAGTGACTTGTCCAGAGTCACACAAAGAATTAAAGGCAGAGCTCAGAATGAGAATCCTGTTCAACCCCCAAGTCCAGAGTTCTTAAATAGATGGAAGAATTCACAGGCTGAGAGAGAATGTGGAGAAGTCCACGGCATATGCCCCTAAGTAGTGATGGCAGATGGCACTGACCTTGGGAATTCCAGGCCAGGCGTCTCACCTCATCCCCCATGTGGGGCTGGAACTCAAACTTGAGTGGAGGGCAGAAGACCTGGTTGCACATGTCCATGACCGTATGCTTGTCACTCCTCGCATCTAAGTTGTCCACTGCGTTTTCTATGACATCCAGCCCCTCGTGGCGAGAGGTCTCCAGGTTATATTCAGCTGAGAGGTAGGTCCTGAAGGTTCGGGCCAGGCTGGTGTGAAAGCCCAGATCACAACACTTAAGGGTAGAGAAGAGCCCAAAACAGAACAGTCAAGGTACAACAGAGGTTTCCATTTACAATATGACAAATAGGCACCTCGAGGTCTCCAGAAGTAAACACTTTCATATCCAAAGGCTCCAGTGAATTTGTGAAGCCCACCTCAAACATTAAACCAAAGGCCAGTTCCTAGCATACTTTCTTAGAGAAGTTCAGGGTGTCTAAAGCCTGGGTGATGGAAGGAAGAAGGGATAAAGCTCCATTCAACTTTTCCTCTTTCCTCTGCAAGAAAGGAAAGGCTTGCAGTGGAGGAAAAGAGAGAGGCCAGATGGCCAGGGTGTCCTGAACTTGCCAGGAACCCTCCTCATATTCTGAACAAGGAGACTGAGCTTCCTTCTCCTCTCCACAAGGGCAAGGACAGTTCATCCCCAAGTGGACTGGAACCTAGAACCCAGATATTCTCCATTTCAGCTGGAAATATACCAGGGCCCCAGGGGTAAGATCAGTTAGTCAAAGTATATTTACTGAGGATCTAGCACATCCAGATCCCAGTGACCAGCACAGTGGGAAGTGAGTACAAGAGAAATTGTTTCTGCTTGAAACTAGCTTCCGAACAGGATGTTCTGTCCTTTAACGCCCAGCTGAAGCCCCCTTCCTCCATAATGAACGTGTCCACTCACACCAAACTCTCCCTGCCCTACTTCCTTGGTGGCTCATGTCCCCTCACTTGTAAAATGGGTGAAAATTATCTATTATGCAAAATTAGTACTTTGAGAGATTATATCCAACTCTCTCACTGTTCATGCTGAATAATTTGGCACATTAGGATAGCATATAAAGATAGTACATCTGCATATACCTAGTTGTGGGCTCAGAACTGTGATTTCATTGGTAGGGAGCTTTCCAAAGAAGAAAGTCCACCTATCAATACAGGGAGGCATCTTCTTTGCAATTTACATTGTTCACAGAATTGCCTAGAATAGGGAACCGTTTAGTGACTGGCCCAAGAACAGAACCAGCATATGTTAGAGGAAGGGCTTGAACCCAGGTATTTCTGGCATGAAGGCTAGTGTTCCATTCATTCTGCCACGCTGCCTGGGTGTGTGTTTCTGTGTGTATATGAGAGAGAGAGAGAGAGAGAGAGAGAGAGAGAGAGAGAGAGACAGAGAGACAGAGAGAGACAGAGAGAGACAGAGAGAGAGACAGACAGAGAGAGAGAGAGAGAGAGACAGACAGACAGACAGACAGAGAGAGAGAGAGAACATATACATACATAGGGTGTTCCAAAAATCTTAGCTCAATTTTAAGCTTTACTAGCTTTGGGATATCTTGTATACTGTAATAATAAACACCATTTATAGAGTGCTTTATGTGTATCTCATTTGAACTTCACAGTAACCCTGTGAGGAAGATGCTTTTATTATTTACCCATTTTACAAATGAGGAAACTGAGGCTGAAAACAGTTAAGGGACTTGCCCAGAGTCATGCAGTTAGTGTTTGAGGCAAGATTCAAACTCCCAGTCCTATACTCTATTCCCTACACTACTATTTATATTACTATATTTATATATACATAAAATATTTTAATATATTTATATATATACACATATATACATACACATATATATGTGTGCGTATGTGTATGTGTGCATGAAGCCAGCTTCTTTTGTGTTTCCCTTGCACCTAGTATGTCTGTTTAGCAGATGGTTAATACTTTTGGATATATACAAACAAACATATGAACATGTACACATAAACACAACAATACGATCACCAAAGACACATACGCCATGCATACTCACGAAAATTGCACTCACTTATCCTAGAGGTCAATATTCATTCACACCCAGACAATGGACCCAAATTCCCAGGCTCCTCTCACACTGGACCATGTGCCAAAGATAAATAGCTCCTGACCAGCCCTCCTTCCGAATCTCCAGATTTTCCGGTCTCTCAGAATGGCTCTCAGTAAAGGCCCAAGTAGGTCTATGTGACTGGCCAGTTATGTACCTCATTTATACCAAGCAAGCAGGGAGTGAAGCGGGGACTTACGTCGATCAGATCGGAGACATCATGGATATAATATTTGCTGATGGCTGCATTGGTGGCCGCTAGGTTCAGCAAATAGTCATTCCGGGCCTTGGTGCACTTCAGCTTATTTTCCGAGTACTTGGCTTGCCTCTGGAGGGGGACAGAGATGGGGCATAGATACCCAGTTAGCCTGTGGCTTGCTCAAAACTGAGGTTCTGATTTTTCTCCCAGGCAAACCTAGCCAGGGAATGGCAGACACTCCCCAGGTCTGGTGTTATGCTAGGCCAGCCCAGGCAGAGAGGAGATGCGGTGCCCAGCGAAACCTCAGGCCCTATCCCTAAGAGGACAAAGGGAAAATGTTCTTTCTGTTACAATCCAAAGGAAGTTCTAATTCCTTTAACCATTCCCTAGAAGGACAATCTTCAAACATTTTAATTAACTCTGAAGCTCTTCTCTGATATCCTCTCCTCCCCCGTGACGTTTTTACATGTTACTTTAGATTTCAGAGCTTAGAACTGGGCAGCCAGACTCAAGAGACTGAGCAGATGAGTTAGCAAGCCTTCTCAAGGAATATATTTTGTTCTATCAGTTATCAGTGCAGTACTGCGGCATACTTGCTATGACTCACGTGAGGCTCTTGGCATCACGGTCTCCGGAGGCTGGGTAGACTCTGGAGATCAGCTTTTGTTTGACAGATAAAGAAACTGAGGCTAACACATTGTCAGTGATTTGCCCAAGCTCACACAGCTAATCTGTAGCCAAACTAGGCCTATCCATATGTCCTGTCTCCTGACTACCAAGCTAAGACTCTCTCCAATATATGATACTTTACAGTTTTTAAAGGACATTCCTCAAAACAATCCTAAAGGCAGACTGTATAAGCACTACTATCCCCAGTTAACAGATGAGAAAATGGAGAGTGAGAAAAGTGACTTGCCTAAGCTTACCCAGCTACTATGACCCACACGGAATAAGAACTTGAACCCTGGTCTCCTTACTCTAGATATATAACTAACACCAATACATAAATTATCCTATTAATTATTATATTTTATTAATAGAGAATATAATATATGAGATATAATATAATATGCCATATATCATATTTTATTACTATTTTTTACAGCTGGGGCAAGTAGCATAAAATGCCCCTTCAGCCACTGCCTGGGAGACTGCCAAAACGATCGGGGGAGTAAGGATGTCAGCCAGGCAAGTATAGCTATGGCTAGACTAATACCTCCCAGTAAGGGAACTCTTACCTAATTATTCTTGCTAACTAGGTACAAAGATTGGTTGTTTCTACACTGCTGAAGAACTGCTAAGGCCATCACTAAATTTCACTGCCCTGGGGAAAAGCCTCAGTGACCATATCCTAGTTAAGGGATCTGTCTTGTATGAACTCCGGTGAGCTTGGCCTCTCTGTACTCCTTCCTCATAATTTCCTTCCATTTGCTTCTGGTTGGGTTTCTAAGTCATAAAGACCTTGCTAAGTTTTAATCTCATTGTCTGGGTTGTTTAGTTTCCATGAGGAATAGTCATAATAGCCCAGGTTTAAATAGCACTTCAAGAATTTTCCCCCCAGTGACCCCAACCTCTGGCCCCACCTGGCCTTTCCAGCCTCTTTCTACAGTGTTCTCCATCTGTGCTCCGCAGTCAGGTTAAAATGGCTTTCTTGCTGCTCCTCCCACATCTCCTCCTGCCTTTGCATTAGCTAGCCCCCTGCCCTACCTCCTGCTCCCCCTCCCCAATTACTGCACATTTCTCTTGTATGTGTTCTGCAAATACTCACTTTTATACATGTTCCCTCTCCTGATAGATTGTAAGCTCCTTGAGGGCAGGGATTGTAACTCTTTTTTTTCCATCTTTGTATTCCCAGTGCCTAGCAAAGTGCCTTACACGTGTCAATCTCACCTTGTTCAGCCATTTTTCAGTCGTGTCTGACTCTTTGTGACCCCATTTGGGGTTTTCTTGGCAAAGATTAAATTAGAGGGGTTTGCAATTTCCTTCTCCAGCTCATTTTACAGATGAGGCAAATGGGGTTAAATGATTTGTCAAGGGTCATACAGCTAGTAAGTGTCTGAGGTTGGATTTGAACTCACGTTTTTCTGACTCCAAGCCTAGTGCTCTATCCACCACCTAGTTACCTTATACATGGTAGGTGCTTAACAAATGCATGTCAAACTGAAGGCAGGGGTTGTTCTGTTTTTGTATGCCCAGCACACCGTGCCTAGCACATCACAGGCATTTAATTAATGCTTGTTGGTTGATTTTTGACAGCAAAGACTGATTTGTCTTTCTTTTTAACCCCCATGCCTACCATCACCCCTTGCATATAGTAGACACTTAATAAATGCTCGCTGCATGAATGTGTTGAATCTAATAGTATAGGTATCAAGAAGTCTAATCATCTCAGTCTGGGGCTGACAGTTCCTGAGTAGGCATTCATCACCAGCCTCCCATATCCTACTCTGGGGCCCAAGCCAGCCCCCTTACCCTGGTTAACACTTAATCCCACAGTGGACTGCTAATCAGGGTCTGAGGCCAGCTGCACAGCCACTAATGTCCATCCCAGAAGTAATCAGAAGGTGCTGACTCGGCTTGAATTGGGCAGAGGCAGTGGGGCTCTTCTGCCTTCCCTGCTGACTCTGGCCCTGCTCACAGAACATGGGCAGCCCCTGCCCGCTGCTCGACACCCACCTCCCTGGGTGCTTGAAGGACAGCAGGAGATGCCCACTCCCCCTGGAGTGTCCCCTTCTGGGTGAGCCCCCAGCCTTCCCTCAGAAGCAATGCCCCACCACCTGCCTTCTCCTTCATCTTCTCCATCTTCTTGACGGAACTCCTGCGCTGCGGCCTGTCCTCATGCCGGAGCAGATTCATACCAAGGTCACCTGACTTGTTGAACTGCTTCTCCTCTTGCTTCTCGGCCTCTTTTAACTTGCTCTCAGCGCTAAGGCTCTCTGCGTGATACATGTGATAGGTTTTCATGACCTAAGACACGGAAATGAAGGAAAGTTAACATTCCACCACCTTTCTGTGTATTTTCATATCTCTCTTACACAGACTCTCAATGCCAGTTGCAGACATCTTCCCACTGTCCCCCACAAAGGTCATGCTCATTCCAACTCCATGCTATTCTATCTGCCTATAATGCCTTCCTCCACCCCCAGTGACCCACCTCCTAACCATATCCTTTCCATCCTTCCAGGTTCAGCTCAAGTCACTGTCCCAGGCCACGGCAACTTCTCCTATTGCTGACTTCCTCTGTGCTTACTGATTGTACTTTATGTTAAAACAAATTATATTTCTTATTGTTCTTCCATGCATTCAAGGCTTGTCTCCCCAAGGAGAATGTAAGTTCTATGAGGATACCAAGCCTGAAACATTTCTTATGTTTCCCCTAGAGCCAACCACAGTGCTATTCACAGAGTAGCTTAGCTCTATTACTTGAAATATGGGTGACCTCAGGCAAATCACTGGTTTCCTAAACTATAAAATAACAGGGTTAGATGAGACGACCCCCTACTAATTCAAAATCTATGATCCCAGGAATGTCTTGTAGGCCTGCCTCTTAAAATGAGGTGTATTTGAAGGACTGTAATAGACATCATCCTCTGGGAACTAGATTGAAAGATTGGGGCCCATTGCTTTGCAGAGACCATGCCAAGTGGTTTCAAGGTTGTCTGGAGACAGGGTGACAAAATATCCCAAGGCTTGCCCAACCCAAACATGCGAACCACATATAGGCTAATTCCTGGAGATTGTGTGGGTGATGATCAATAAATCATGTTCTTTTATTGACCAGTGTAAGGGTACTGCCTGCCCCATAGAGAGTTAGGAACCTCTATGGGGATTTGATGACCCTTACAACAAACCCTGGAGTGTAAGCAAGAGCACTTAGAAGTCCTTGTCTCTGAAGGAGGCAAGTAAGTTGGTGGAGCAAGCTCTGTACACTCAGTCTCTGGCAATTACAGACCCAAGAGCCCCACAAGGGTTAGGAGAAACTAATCTTCGACTTTTGCCCAATCTTCTGCCCTCCTCTCCTTGGCCCATAACCCCTCTTGCACACCTTACAATGAGCTGCTGTTTCCTCTACCTCTTTGCAATGCTGCAAGGTTGCATACAGTCTATTCTACCCCCAACAGAAACACTACAGATGTAATCCATTCCACCCCCAAGTCCCTCAAACACAAGAGATTAGATTAAAGGCTGGGTTTTGATCATCCCAGTACATTTGGAAAGAAAACGGCACATGTGCTGTTCTCGCCTAATGTGCTCTTAGTCACATCATCTTCTTTCATCGTCTGTCTCCAGGACTTTAAATATTTGGTTTCATGTTGTGTCGAGATGGCAGAAATGTTCTGATCTATTTGAGAAAGCAGACTATGAGGCTAATTGCCTAGATGCACAGCTGGGAGTACAGAGGGCTATGGCGCTATAACTCAGGGCTGCTCCTCATCACAGGGGTGCCATCAGTGGGGGAGTGGGGGAGTGGGGGCGGGGAGCCTGGGCAGCATCTGATTATGGACAACATCTGGACAGAGCTCCCATGGGGACTGCAAGGGTGGCTTGTTCCATGATGTGAAAAACCAATCCATTCCAATGTAGCCTGACTTTGGAGGAGCATGGAGACTTGGGGGGCTAGACAGTATATAGGCATGCAGGAGAGCCTTCCAAGCCACTCTTCCCTGTGGTGCCCCAAAGCTGGGCTACAATAAGTATTCATTAAGTGCCTACACTGTGCTAGGTACTGGTGGTGGGAGAGAAAGAGGGAGAGGGGTGATGGAAAGGGTGGGGGGACTTAGATTCTGAGGAAGAGTGGGAGGTGGTTACACAGTCATTAAACAGGTTAAGTATCAAGCTGATTATTTGAAAAGATTGTTATTTATGCTTGCCCTTTGTTCTCGAAGAAGACCAAGACATCAGGAAGATGATGATGATGCCATGACTTGCAAGTGGATTGGATTTAAGTCAGGGAGGGCTCACTAGCCTCACTCTCTCTTCCAGAGTCATCAGCCTCCAGTGGCAAGATATAGATCAGGAGGACTGGAGATGCAGAAATATAGTAATACCTGGAGGGATCAGAAAAGGCTTCCCACCAGAGGAAGCTTGGGTAGGGCCTTGAAGAAAACAAAGGATTCTAAGAGGAAGAGGTGGAGAGCGAGTGCATTCCAGGCTTGAGGGCACATCCTGGGCACAAGGACAGGCGGTAGATAGAATGCCAAGTTTAAGGAACAGCAACATTCTGTGTGTCTGGAACACAGAATGCATAGAAGAAGAATGATATGCAGTAAGTCTGGGAAACTTAGTTGGAGCCAGATTCTGAAGGGCCTCACATGCTGAGATGAATGAATTTTATTTTACTCTAGAGGTAAGTGGAAACTTACTCAAGCTTCCTGAGCAAGGGAGTGACAAAGTCAGCCTTGTGTTTCAGAGAGATTATTCTGGGCTCTGGGTGGGGAAAGGGTTAAAGAGGAGGAGAGACAAGCAGATAACAGTCCAAATCAAAACCTGTTGCAATAGTCCAAGTAAAAACAACTGAACTCCCCCTACTCATGGCCACATGAGTAGAGGGAAGAAAAAAGATACCAGAGATAATTGTGGAGGTAAAATCAATAAGACTTAGCAACTAATTGCATATGGGTGGTGAGGGAGAGAGAAATAATTCCAAAGTTGTAAACCTAGATGACCGGAAGGATGATGTGGCCCTGGAAAGAAAGTGAGAAGTGTGGAGGAGGGAAAAATTTGTGAGTGGGGGAAGGTATTAGTTCTGTTTTGTACATATGGAAAACATTCAAGGGTACTGATTTCTCTTTCTAGAGGAGAGCTATGGAATGAAAATCTTTCCCCAAAAGAATACAATTGATTTTGAAGAGTAGGGGAAAGTATGGGAAAGAGTATGGAGTGAGTGCAGGGAAACAGATAATCTCCAACATCAGATAATTTAAAAATTATTCCTATTCAACTAGTACGAGTTATTTGTTCATTCATTCATTCATTCATTTCATTCATTATAGCAATAGCATGTGACTTTCCCAGTTTACCAGGCTGATACTCAAATGAATAGACACTGAGGATCTAGTAACATTAAAAATGGGAAAGATCATTCCAGTAGGATGAAGGGAAAGGCACACATGGAATTAAACCTTTTCCAGGAAGAATCCACAAAGAACACACTGCACAAACAGATATTGTTGTTCGTCCTTCATTCTAGAAGAGGACCAATGACATCAGGAGGATGATGTCTTGACTTGCAAGTGCATTAGATTTAATGATCATGAGTTGTATTGTCATGCACCAGCTAGTGGAAGAGGGTTAAGGGGCAGGGCCAGGGGTGTGCTGAAGCCAGCTCGAAGGCTAAGGAGAGCCAATGGTTAGATTTTGTTAAAAAAATTATGCCTCAGAAATCAGCAAACATAATAAATCCTCCAATTGATTTATTGTTTTGTTGATTGTCTAGACTTAAGAATGTGAAGACGAAAATAAAAATTCAGAGTCAACTTAAAAGTTTGTCACGCATACTTTTTTTTTTTTTTAGAGAATGAATTGTTAAATGTTTACCAACAGACCTTTGGCTACAGGGAAATAGAGCTATCATACTGAAGCCATGATTTAACACTTCATCTGTCCAACAAGTCTCCAGTTAACCAGCAAGTGTTTACGGAGCTCCAATTGTGTTCTTGGCCCAGGGCTCAGAGTACAATGACAAGTGTGCCCTGGGGACACTCCTCCATGCCCCCAGGATCCTCCATTATTGTTAGGGAAGTAAAATTTATACTGTGAAGCAATTAGCGAAATGTAATAAAACAATATATGAACATGAACCCCCTCCCAGATCACTTCCTTGCTGAGGCAGAGGGGCTTGCATAGCTCAATGAAACTATGAGCTATGTTGTGCAGGGTTACCCTATGGACAGGTCACAGTGGAGAGTTCTGACAAAAAGTGATCTACTGGAGAAGGAAATGGCGAACCACTCAAGTGCCCATGCCAAGAAAACCCCACAGACAGTATTCAAGTGCTAAAACAGATGACATCAGAAGATGAATCCTCCATTGCCAGAAGGGGTCCAACTCTTACTGAGGCAGACTTCAGGAGATAGTAGAGGACAGAAGGACCTGGCGTGCCACAGTCCATGGGGTCATGAAGAGTCGGAAACAACTGAACAACTGATCAACAACGACCAGGGACAAGACCCTTCACCCCTCTGGTTTCCTTATCTGGCATGAAGACAGAGCTAAAGAGAGACAATGTAGTAAAGCAGGGAAGGAGCTACACTAAGAAGCCAGAAGATCTGGGAGGTGAGACACTAGACTTAAATCTCTGAGGCTGAGTGGCTCTTAAAGGGTAAGAGGGCAAACTTGACCCTAATCAGTCTAGCCAAGAAGACCCAAAACAATGATCCCCTCAAGCTGCAAAGTTTTATTGACTCCCCCAAACAGTTGGGGAGAGCCAGCTCGCTCGCCAATAAACTCTAGAACTCCACATCAGATTTTATGAATCTGAAACCACTCCCATCTCATCAAGCTAGGCTTTTTCTGCTCATCCCAAATTCATTATTCTCATTTATCAACAACTCCCTCAAGCAAACTCAGGTTGTGTCTTGGTTCCTTTAGTAAGGTTATTAAATAGCTCTAGAGGTTTCCATGCTCTAAGGAATACATGCATGGCCACAACACTGGCTTGTAAACTGAATTTCTGCAAATCAAATAAGTTACACGTTATATTCAAATCAACCTCCTTTTCTGTGGTGACTGACTCAATAAAGATGCTGTTTACCAGTTTGGAACTGTAGGTTAGAGAGTAACTCACTTTACCACAGCAGTAGTTCGGAGCTTGTAAATTCTGGAGCACATATGAGGATATTCAGAATATAAACTGGTAACTTTCTTCTCCCCCTCATCACTACTGATTTTTAAAAAATCAAAACCACTGGGATCCTAGAATATTAGAACCGGAATAACAGAATCACAGAACTTTAGATCTGGAAGGT